GAAGCTACTTTAGCCGCAGATGCTATTCATTTCGGCTTAACATTATTAGAATGCTAAGACTAGTAGTACAGAAAATGTAATACTTACTTGAAGTGAGCCAGGATCACGTATTGTGGGAACTGATCCAGTTTTCAGAAACAATTTACTTGCGAATCCGGAGTTGTATTGTCTCGCGTTCTCAAGGCAGTCTACGCTAAAGTGGTTAGCGCAAACATACAACAGTTTTGGGACATTTTCAGGCACCTTGTCTTCAAAGATAAAACTCAGCTACTTAAGCCTCTGTTGCTCATTTGCAGGAAGACGGTGAAGGCTCTTGTGCTGAGCCTACCATCCAAAAATAGCACAAGGGTGTTCTCTCGGTGGCATCGTTTCGACTCACATGCAGATAATGGCGGAAACGACAAACTCAGGATATGTTAATACGCGCAGCTGTCAATCAATTAGGTGGGCAGGGTGATCGCACACCTACGTAATGGTGCGGTCGGTTTGAAAACAGCTCCAATTGGTCGACCCTTTTTTTGTAGTTAAATTGAAAAAAAAGCACTGTGTGTGTTCATATCACCCCAGTATGACGGTCTATACACTATACCAACACACAGATCTGTCCAAACAGCTTGAAAAGTAGATTTTTTACCAAAGGTGCCCTTTAATACAGCAGTGCGTGTAACAGCCAGAACCTCAGCTGGCCCTTCATATTTGGGGTCAGTTAAATCTTTCTGGGGTTTTATATCTTTTATTAGCACCTTGTCCCCTATCTGGAAAGGGTGTGCTGCTTCAAGTGGAATTACTGGGTGTTTCTTTGTTACACTTTCCCAATACTGATTGAGTTTCTGAATTAGGGCAGCTGAAAATTCTGACATGTGGTTAGAAAGCTCAATACCCACTCCCATAATTCCCCCTTGCCCCCTTGGGAGAGGGAAAGGTCTTCCCATGACCACCTCATATGGTGATAAAGAATTCAAATTTGCTTGTGGTGTCATTCTCAAATCTGCTAGTACTATTGGTAAAATTTTTACCCAATCTTTATGACCGTGTTGTCTTAAAGCCTTCTTTGTCTTTCCTTTCAAGGTTCTGTTAGTTCTCTCCACAAATCCAGATGATTGTGGATGATAGGGTATGTGGAAACGCCAATTTATATTTGATTCAGTTGCCAATTGTTGCGTTACCTTTGACGTAAAAGGTGTTCCTTTATCTGAATCGATGCTTTGTGGGATCCCATATCTAGGTATAATTTCAGAGATCAATTTCTGTGTTACCACTTGTGCATTTTACCTTGAGCAGGGAAAAGCTTCTACCCATTTTGAAAATTTATCCATGCAAACCAGTAGATAGAAATGACAGTGCCACATGTGGGAGACATAGCGACCCATGTTGTCGTGCCATAGACCCATCTTTTCATCAAACATTGAAGAAAAGCCGTCCCAAAAGGACTTATCCTCTTCAGTGGCTGATGCTTGTAACATGGCCAAATCAATGTCAGGGAGCATCCCCGAAGCCGAGGTTGTAAACAACAAGGAAACGTGCATAGAGTCCTCAGGCAAAGGCTGTTGTGCTGCTAATTTAGCATGCCGGTCAACCAGTTTTTTCCTTTGGCTTCATCAGTGTGTTCCTTCGAATGGCCTTGAGTTTTAACAATGGCCAGTTAAGAGGGAAGAGGGCAGGCTGTTATTAAATCAGTTATGAGGGTATGATGGGACACTGGTCTACCATCAGCAGCAATAAATACCCTAGATTGTCAGATGGCACCAAAATCATGTGCCACAACAAAGGCATATCTAGAGTCTGTGTAGATTGTAACTGGTTTGTCAGCATATAATATGCAGGCTCAAGTAAGGGCATACAGTTCAGCCGCTTGTGCTGATTTAAAAGGTAGAGGGCGGGCTTCTATAACTTGATCAGGCAGTGCACACACAGCATAACCACATAGGTAGACGCCATCTTGTGGCTTTGAACAAGAGCCATCTACAAAAATGACTTGTCCATGTTGTAGTGGTCTTTCAGCCAGATCAGATCTTATGGAGCAGACAGCATTAATTTCCTCCAAACAGTCATGTTGTTCAACCAAAAGTTCATCATTAAATGGTGATAACATGTGATGGAGGGCAGCAGCAATATGACTATGGCCAGTCAGGCTTTTCACAGTCAGATTGGCAGTAGAAGTCAAAACGTGTTCATAACCAACCCTTCTCTGGGACGATGAATGCTGTGTATTGAGCTGTGTTGCGGAGGGAGGGGTTACTTCTGCATGTCCCACTTTCTTTGAGACCTGATTGGTCTGGTTTCTCTGTGCGAAGCCCCTCTAATTCTTGTACAGGATACAGAGGCATCCTCTGCTGTGCCTTTCCTTGCCCCACATAAGGAGAGGGGGAAGAGAGGGTAGGAGTAGGAACAGTAACTTTAACTGAGGGAACAGTAACAACGGGGGCTGGAGGCACTTTGGGTGTCTCCTTTCTTTTTACCTCAATCTTTAATGCTGAGCCTTTAAGAGGCTTCGCGATTAATTTCTTTACCTCTTTTGGTAGGTTAATATTTTGTTTATGATTCCACACACTCATCATCTTCATCCAGATCTCATAACCCTTTCTCATATAATCATAGTCCCATTCGGGATCTCCTCCCCTTTCATAAATTAATTTGTGAGCCCGTTTTAGCACATGGGGGTCGAACAACCCATCTCTAGGGTGGGGGCGCATCGCTTGTGCCTCAGTCCACCCTGCTAGATTATCTAATCAGGGATTAGTGTAATATACCCACCCACATCGATACATCCGGTCTTTAGGGCTTTCCCCTATCTCAGGCTTGGGGTATGAACCACCCATGTTAGTAAATACTTACTAGAAAACACACAGAATGATCGTTCTACTTTTGTATAGCGCGCTCTTCTTGGCTTGTCAGGGAAAATCCCAGCCAAGGATTACTCAGTTCAGTAATGAAGCTTAATCAGGCAGTCAAAACCAAATTCATGTCTTGCCAGCTTCCTGAACACTCAGTTCAGTGATGAAACTAATCAGGTAGTCAAAACCAAATTCATGTCTTACCTGATCAGCTTCATCACGTCGGGGTCATCAGGTTGTTGGGATAAATTGCAGATCGTCTGTGTGTTCTCTCAGTAAGCTGGAGCTCCAGGAAGGCAACAAAAACTGAGAGATGTGAATCAAACAGTTTATTGCTCTCTTCTGAAGAAGACTGGGGCATCCCCAGCTTTTATACATCATACTCAAGGTTACATGGGCTGTGAATACGTGCAAATATTCAGCTCAGTTAAGCAGAACAATTTCATCCAGTGCTCAAAAATGTCAAGGCGCTACGTCAAGGTACTTAATACCGGGACAATTTACAATAAGATAAGAAACAGTTAGAAGACAACAGAATACTTGAAGAGTGAGTACATGCATATTTTTTTCATTAACACAGTATTATGTAACTTTTAGCAAGGTAACAAGATCTACTGCTCGAGGCAATGACTTAGAAGAACATAAATAAGAACACAGTTCTTACAAAATGAGAACAAAGATTTATTAAGCTACACTACGATACATGAAACTACGTAATAAGCAAACAACAAACAAGTGCACACACACATTCACACATACACACAGCGGCAGTTGAGGATGTGAAATGAGTTGAACAACCGTCCCAAATTAATTCTAATATTTCTTACAATATCTTAGAATAACACCTGAGAAACCACAAAAGCAGAGATATGGCTTATCTTTAACTGCTTAAGATCAATCTGCACCAGATCAACAAGAGACAACGTTAGTTTGTTACTTGTGCCCTTTTTGCTGAAGTCCTGAATTTCCCTCGCCAACTGGCCTTGAGGAAACACGGTGCTCCTGATTGGCTGGTGGCTTCTGTGACGTCCTTGGGATTCCCTCGCTCGTGAGTGGGTCGTTCTGGTTTACCGAGGTGACAGACTGCTGAGAGTTGGTTTTCGGAAGTTCGTGCGGTTTAGGCGGTCCCGAAACCTAAGGGGTTTGCATAGGAAGTTCGTTGTGACTTAATCGCAAGGCAGAGCGGTGTCCGAGCAAGCGAACGAGGGCAGAAACCAATAGCATGCGCAAGCCAAAACATGCAAAAATCAAAGTTTCTTAGTTGCAGGGTGTTTTTAAGTGACCTGTTTGGGTCCATGCCCATGGCACTGTCTTCCAATGAGCAGTTGCCATGAAGGGCGGGGCCACGCCCCGTATCGATGTAGGAAAGGTCAATCATTAACAGACTGCATGAGGATTTCACGTGGTAAAACTCTTGCAAGATTGAAACTATCTTACATCAAATGTTACAAGACAAATACTATTTGTACTAGTAGTTTTTCATTTACACTAACGTATTGCAAATGTCACTAGCTTTCGTTTAATACCAGACATCATACATTTCAGACACATACAGATCATTTTAATCTGCTATAAAGGTTAAAACAACACATTGATTAACCTGGTTGGTTGGAATAAACACAGCGTATGAGAAAAACTATGGCATTTTATTCAAAGAAACATCTGCCTTAGTTATAACATTTTAAGAGATTGTCTTTCATTCGTATGCATTAATTTCTTTTAGAGATCTCTTTGTCTCTACGAAATTGTACATCTGGCAGGATGTCCCATATGACTAACGCATGACCAGGAGTCATTCAAAAGTCCTGTGAGGCGGTTCCCGCTGAAAATCCTGTAAAGCCCTATTGTTTAGTTTATTAATCATTTACTAGTTAGCTGAAGGGTACCAGAACATCTGCGGCCAAAGTATTGATGCAGCTATTCAAGTCAATTGCCGCTCTGTTATCGTGATGGTATAAGCCCTCAAGCTAGTTCAGTGACTTGAGACAATTTGGCGCCCAGTTTCCGAATCTGATTCGAACTGGTTTTGAGTTCTGCAACATCCTTTGCATTGAGTTCCAGCAGTACAATAAATCTGTTAAATACTGGTATACTTACAAGTATATGAAATGTGTACTTGTACAAACCTGTGAAATTGTAAAATATGACAAATATCTTTTTCAACAGGAAAATGTGAAACCAGTAGAAGAAGAGATTAACTTGAAACCTGATGATAATCAAAGTGAGAATTCCTCTCACACCAACATGGGTATGGAATTCTACTAATAAGCACTGTTTTAATTTAGTTTAAGTTAATAAATACTTGATTTTCCAAAAATTATAATTTTTTTTTACTTTAGATCATGGTGATCCAGATTTGACTGTCACAGTATTTGGATGTTCTGAGGCGGTCCAGTTTGGAAGAGACAACATTCTGCTTGGAGAAGAACAACTCAGTCTTAGTGCAGAATATCCCATAACTGTTCCAGTAGAGAGGAAGATATCAGAACATCAGGTCTCAGTGATCAACATGATTGGCTCACATAATGCTGATCTCAAAACACTCAGTCACTATATTGGTCAACTGAGTGAAAATGAAATACACGCCTTCATATTTGTTGTGCGACTGGGTCAGCTGACAGATACTGATGAAATGGGTATTGAATGGCTACAGAGAACTTTTGGTGACAGAGTTCTTTCATTTGTCATTATTCTCTTCACCTATGAGCAAGAGGAAGAGTGTGACTCTATAATAGATGACCTGAAAAACAACTCTGTTCTGGAGCAGCTGCTGGAGAAATGTGGAAGAAGAAATTACACCTGCAGCAAACTCATGAACAACCAGTCAGAGATCACAGAACTGATGAACAGGATCAAGTATCTGTTTTCTCATAATAACCAACAGAGCTACACCAGAGAGATGTATAGATCTTCTTTAGGAGACAAGCAACACGGTGAGTATATATAAATACAGTTAAAGTCAGAATTATTAGCCCCCCTTTGATTTTTTTGTATTCTTCTTTAATAATTTCCCAAATTATGTTTAACAGAGCAAAGAAATTTTCACAGTATGTCTGATAATATTTTTTCTTCTGGAGAAAGTCTTATGTGTTTTATTTCGGCTAGAATAAAAGCAATTTTTAGTTTTAAAACAACATTTTACAGACAAAATTATTAGCCCCTTTAAGCTATATATTTTTCTCAATAGTCTACAGAACAAACGTTGGAGGTCACTAAAGTAACCCTTCGTTCCCCAAGGAGGGGAACGGAAGCACTATAAGTGGATTTGATGTTCTAAATCCACGTATGGGAGATTCGGTTCAGAAGCTACTCGTCTGAAAGAGTATTGAACGGGCCAATTAAGAATGAATTGGCAGCGCAAGCCTGCGCAGGTGTACTGCATAGGCTTAATTAACTGAGCATATAAGCACACCTGGCGCCAGCAGACGCTATCCTTTTTAAGCTGAAGAGACTTTTAACAGCTAAGGGACAGTCATTATGGCGACGGAGTATAGTGCTTCCGTTCCTCTCCTCGGGGAACGAAGGGTTACTTTAGTAACCTCGAACGTTCCCCTTCGGGGGGACCTCCAGCACTATAAGTGGATTTGATGTTCTAAAAAATTGAAAGCGCCATAATGACTGCACCTTACCAACACCCATCATGAGAGAGCGGTCAGGCAAGCGTGACGCACCAAGATTATGAGAGGCGCGGTCCTCCAACGTGCCCCTTGGCCCTAACTTATCCCACTTCAAAAGAAGCTTTACGGAATAGGTATATTTTTTTGGGAGTCGCTAGCATCTAGATAATTCTAGGAATATACGACAGTACGTTGGGAAGCGTGCCATCCCAGTAGGGAGGACGCTGCGGAGACCATCCGCACCCAATAGGGAAAACAACTGGAATTACATATGGACTAACCCTGAGAAGGGGGAGTGCGCATAAGAAGGTGGTTAGCAGATAGGAAAAGCACGGGTCCACCCAGGGGAGGGGAACTTAACCGTGGCGGAAAAGCATATGGGGATCACCAGCGGGGATCGGCCATAGCAGGCACCTATACCCAAGACGCGGGCTGACCAGCGGGCAGACCTACAACGTAGTGGGCCAGCAAGTGACTCCTCCGCTGAGTCAGTGCTGGGGGCCTCGGAGGAATCTGCAGGGCTCACTGAATGGGGAACTTTACTGACAGACAGGAGGGTGCACATCTCTCCGTGTTAGGGAACAAAGGAACAGCAACCGTGTACAACACCTACCGAGTTGTTTCCTCAATCACCAAAGGTCCCTAACACCCTTGAGGAAACCGGCTCCACTCGCAGATTATAAAATCTTGCAAATGTGTTGGGTGTCGCCCAGCCCGCAGCTCTACAAATGTCTGTTAAAGAAACGCGGCGCGCACACGCCCAAGAGGATGCAACGCTCCGAGTGGAGTGCGCACGCACTCCCGGGGGGCGCGGCTGACCTCTGCTCAAATAAGCACATGAAATGGCCTCCACAATCCAGTGGGATAAATGTTGTTTAGACACGGCACTTCCCTGCTGCCGTCCGCCATAACAGACAAAGAGCTGCTCAGAAGATCTAAAGTTCTGAGTACGGTCCACATAAATGCGCAGAGCGCGAACTGGATAAAGTAAGGACAGGGCTGGGTCTGCCTCCTCCGGGGGCAGCGCTTGCAGGGTTACTACCTGATCTCTAAAGGGAGTGGTAGGAACTTTGGGCACATAATCCGGGCGGGGTCTCAGGATAACGTGAGAAAATTCCGGCCCGAATTCCAGGCACGAGTCACTGACCGAAAATGCCTCCAGGTCCCCGACCCTCTTAATAGAGGCCAACGCGACCAGCAGAGCTGTCTTCAGGGACAGAAATCTTAAAGATACTGTATCGAGTGGCTCGAAGGGATCAAATCGCAGGCTCGTGAGAACGAGGGCGAGATCCCAAGAGGGCGTGAGAGGGGGGCGAGTTGGATTAATTCGCCTAGCGCCTCTGAGGAACCGGATGATGAGGTTATGCTTTCCCACGGTGCCGCCAGCCACCGCGTCATGGTGAGCGAAGATGGCGGCAACGTAAACCTTGAGAGTAGAGGTCTTCTCTGCGAGAGACACACCACTCAGTGAATAGACTCCACTTCAGGGCGTAGGCGCGCCTCGTAGAGGGGGCTCTAGCCTGAGTGATGGTATCAACCACCGCAGGCGGCAGGTTACCTAAGTCTTCCTCGCGTCTATGGACCACACGTGGAGGTTCCAGAGATCGGGACGAGAGTGCCAGACGGTGCCTTGTCCCTGAGAAAGTAGGTCCTCTCTCAAAGGGATCTGCCATGGGAGGGCCGTCGCGAGGAGGGAGAGCTCTGATATCCAGGTCCGGTTGAGCCAGAGGGGCGCAACTAACAGAACCTGTTCCTCGTCCTCCCTGACCTTGCACATTAACTGCGCGATCAGGCTCACTGGGGGAAAGGCATACTTGCGTATGCCCCGAGGCCAGCTGTGGGCCAGTGCATCCGTGCTGAGAGAGCCCTCGGTCAGGGAGTAAAACAACTGGCAATGAGCGTTCTCGGGGGAAGCAAACAGATCGATCTGGGCCTCCCCGAATTGCGCCCATATCAGCTGGACAGACTCGGGGTGGAGTCTCCATTCTCCAGAGTGAATCTGCTGCCGTGAGAGCACATCGGCTGCACGGTTGAGCATACCTGGGATGTGAATGGCGCGCAGCGACTTCAGCCGCGGGTGACTCCAGAGGAGCAGACGGCGGGCGAGCTGAGACATGCGGCGAGAGCGCATACCCCCCATGCGGTTGATATACGCCGCCGCCGCCGTACTGTCCGTCCTGACCAGCACGTGTTGCTGCTCCAGCAACGGAGAAAAACGGCGGAGAGCAAGGAACACTGCCAACAGCTCTAGGCGATTGATATGCCAATGCAGCTGGGCACCTACCCACAGGCCCGCAGCTGCATGCCCGCGACACACGGCTCCCCAGCCTGTGCTGGAAGCATCTGTCGAAACAACAACATGACTGGACGCTTGTCCCAGAGGCACACCGGCCTGCAGGAACGAGGGGTCGTTCCAGGGGCTGAGGGTGCGGCGACACAGCGCAGTAACAGAGACTCGGTGTGTGCCCGCATGCCATGCGCATCTCGGAACTCGATCTTGAAGCCAATGCTGAAGTGGTCTCATATGGAGCAATCCGAGCGGCGTGACAGCCGCAGCGTAAGCCATATACCCCAGGAGCCTCTGAAAATATTTCAGTGGGACCACTAACTTGCTGTCGAGCTCTCTCAGACAGTTCAGCAGCAGGCGAGCGCGCTCTCCGGAGAGGCGCGCTACCATGGTGACCGAGTCCAGCTCCATCCCGATAAAAGAGATCCTCTGCACCGGGGCGAGTTTGCTCTTTTCCCAGTTGACCTGCAACCCCAATAGGCGGAGATGCCGGAGCTCCCGAGAGTGGGCTAAAATCAGCCAGTAGTCGAGATAATTGAGTACGCGGATGCCCGCAAGCCGCAGAGGCGCTAGGGCACCCTACGCGAGTTTGGTGAAGACCCGCGGAGACAGAGAGAGCCCGAAGGGGAGGACCTTGTACTGCCATGCTCGACCTTCGAACGCAAACCGCAGAAACTGACGGTGGCGTGGAAGAATGGAGACATGAAAATACGCGTCCTTCAGGTCTATGGCTGCAAACCAATCCTGAGGACGAACGCATCGAAGGATGCGCCTCTGCGTAAGCATTTTGAACGACAGCTTGTGAAGGCAGTGATTCAAAACACGCAGATCTAGGATTGGCCGTGACCCACCGCTCTTTTTGGGTACGATGAAGTACGGGCTGTAAAACCCGCTCTCCATCTCGGCTGGAGGTACCGGCTCGATTGCACCCTTCGCCAGGAGGGCAGCAATCTCCTCTCGCAAGACAGGGGCGAACAGGGGATTGACCCTGGTGAAATACACGCCCGTGAACCTGAGAGGCCGTTTGGAGAACTGTAGTTCGTAGCCGAGTCTGATCGTGTGTATGAGCCACCGCGAGGGGCTGGCCGGCGCTAACCAGGCAGGCAGAGCCCTCGCTAATGATGTCATCGCAGCAATCGTTGACGTACCCGCGGAGGGGCAGCGCGGAGCGGGTGTGCTGATCCGGGGAGCGCGAGGGTCCCGCAGAAGAGCTGGAGGAGAGCGATTCGCTCTGGCTCCGCACCCTGACTCCTGAGAGGGGGCTTGGGGGCTGGGAGAAGGGAGACCGTCCCCCCAGCGCCCGAGAGCCGCTGGCGGAGCATGCAAACCCTGCGAGCTGAGAGGCAGCGCATCCCAGACTGGCAGGGCTTGAGCTGTCACATCCGGGGAAGGGAGAAAATGCTCTTTGATCGAAACTTTGGTGGCACTGAAAAGTACCGTTGGAATATGGGCCCCGCCCTCCAGCGGGGAAAGAGCAAGTCTCCTCTTCTCCGGATGGCCTGTCTCAGGGACGCTTCGCGGTCCGTTTACCGGACTTAGCGGCGCCCTGGGCAGGAGGGGCTACCGGCTTTCAGCGTGCCCTCGGCAAGGAACAGCGGAGGTGGATGGCTCGGCCGTGGATAGAGCGGGCTTACGACCCCGTCAATAGATGACATTGCCTATCGCATCCGACTGCTCCTTCACCGCCTTGAACTTCTGGGTGAATACACCGACGGTGTCGCCGAACAGGCCAGCCTGGCATATGGGCGCGTCAAGAAAGCGAACTTTGTCAACATCACGCATATCTGCCAGGGTTAGCCAGAGGTGGCGTTCCTGGACCACAAGTGTGGACATCGTCTTCCCCAGTGCGCACGCGGTGGACTTAGTGGTCCAGAGAGCATAGTCGGTCGCCGTGCGCAGCTCGTGTAACAAGCCTGGGTTAAACCCACCCTCGTGCAGCTTAGCCAGCGCCTGCGCTTGGTAGTGCTGGTAGGTGGCCATCGCGTGCAAGGCGGAAGCTACCTGGCCCGCAGCCTTGTAAGCTCTAGCTCCGAGGGAGGCAAATAACCTACAGGCTTTGGACGGGAGACGGGGCGGACCGCGCAAAGCGGGGGCGTCACGTGGACAAAGATTGACCGCAATGGCGCGCTCCACCTGCGGGATCGCCTCATATCCCCTGGCAGCTCCACCATCCAGGGTGGTGAGGGCGGAGGCGGACGCAGCGCGGGCAGAGAAAGGTGCCCTCCAGGACTGCGTGAGCCTACTGTGCACTTCCGGGAAGAAGGGGACGAGAGGCTTCGAAGGCTTCGCCTTTTGATCCTCTACGTAACACCCATCTAGTCGGTCCGGCCGCGGGGCTGGGGGATAAACCATCTCCAACCCGACGGCCGAAGCAGCCCGAGAAAGCACGGCCAACATGTCCGCTTCAGGATCCGTTTTGACGGCGCTCGCTTGCCCAGAGGGGGCGAGCGGGTCCAGATCATCGTTGGACAATGAAAGCCCACCCTCCGATGCCGCGGAGGACATCTGATCTCCGGTGTCAGCGAGCGTGAGAGCTACCATCTGATTAGACGGATCACTCCCAGTACCCGAAGCTTGGATGGAGCGCTTGGAGGAGCGAGAGGTCCGCGAGCCCTTGGGCGACGGATTATCTCTCGCTGGAGCGCTCAGATCTGCCCGAGCACCCGCTGCAGAGCAGGGGGCGACTGGGGTGGCTCGCTCTCTTACGAAAGCTAACCACGATCTCAACTGCGCAACGGTCATGGCATCACAGGAAACCCCCGCAACCAGAAACGCACAGTCAGAGCGCCATCCTGAAAAGGACGTGCTGCACGACTGTGTTGCTCTTTTAGGATGCTTTGCAGCAATACGCACCGCTCTTGGAGGACCAGACCCAAAGGGACGCCAGGCAAGGGAGAAACCCAGCTCGACCGTCTGCCACTGCATGGACTCGCTCTGGACCGGGAGACACTCGTTCGCTCGAAGTGGCTGTAGACAGCAGGAGGAACCCTCATGAAGCTCGATCAGAAAAGTCTCTGAAGCGAAAAGGATAGCGTCTGCTGGCGCCAGGTGTGCTTATATGCTCAGTTAATTAAGCCTATGCAGTACACCTGTGCAGGCTTGTGCTGCCAATTCATTCTTAATTGGCCCGTTTAATACTCTTTCAGACAAGTAGCTTCTGAACCGAATCTCCCATACGTGGATTTAGAACATCAAATCCACTTATAGTGCTGGAGTTCCCCCCGAAGGGGAACCATCGTTACATAATAAATTACCTAATTACCCTAACCTGCCTAGTTAACCTGATTAACCTAGTTAAGCCTTTAAAAGTTACTTTAAGCTGTATAGAAGTGTCTTGAGAAAGATCTAGACAAATATTATGTACTGTCATCATGGCAAAGATAAAATAAATCAGTTATTAGAAATTAGTTATTAAAACTATTATGTTTAGAAATGTGTTGGAAAAATTAAACAGAAATTGGGGTAAAAAATAAACAGGGCGGCTAATAATTCAGGGCCGCTAATAATTCAGGGGGGCTAATAATTCTGACTTCAACTGTACATATTAATGTTTTCCTGGATAGAATCAGAAATTCTTGATATAATAAATATTGTACTATTGTTTCATGCGATTAAGGTGCAGAAATAGAAACAAGCCTTGGTGAAACAAACATGCTGCCTTTAGGGAGCTTGGAACAAACTGATAAAGGACAGGAACAAAAGGTAACTTCACTCTCATGGATCTTCATTTGAATTTATTTCTGTTTGTGGTTTTACCATATCTACTTTAGGTTACAGGTAGGGCTGGGTATCGAGTTCGATACTTTTTAATCACCGACCGAATCGTCTCGATACTATCGCGTATCGAAAAAAATATTTTCGTTCGTTACCAAATTTCGATACCCAAGGGTATAATCTTGTCAACGTGCCCGGTTTAAATGCTGGTGATTGGCTGCAGCAAGGCTGTCTTGAAAATCAAAAGTTTACGGCGGTTGCGCCCACTAGCTTATTTTTGCATTGTTTGACTGCAAGAAGATCATGCCGGCGCAGTCATCATAACAACGTGCCCACCACAAGCGTCGTCCTCCATGACTGATGAGGATTAAATCGTGATGGCTGGGGCTCCGAATGGTAAACAGACATAAGCGCAAGCTGACAGCCCTTTTCCGCCTCCTCTGCTTTAAAATCACCTTAAAGTTGGGCGAACTTCGTGTTGTAACTTTTGCTTTTTGTCGCTAATAATACACGCACTACGAGCTACACAGAGCAACTTTATTCTCTCTAACACCATTGCGCACACACATCAGGATTCAGGGCCATACCATTACATAAACTGCGTGGGGGTAAATCAGGACTGAACCATTCTCTGCTTATACTACACTTTGCATATTTCGCAGTGGCTAGTGTGGCACAGAGGCAGAACTCGCCGAACAGATCCGCCACTTTTGACGCTCATAAACAATGATAAAGTCCTCATGCTGCAGGAATTATGAGGTTGCTGAAGGTGCACAGCTGCCGTGCAGTGAGGGGTTTGTGTCTTTAATAAACTACGACAGTTTGCTTTCACTGAACAGTAACAATGAGTAATAAATCCATATGAAACAGCCCCTTAAAAGTCACTTCTCGCTTTCAGTTTCAGGGTTAGGCGCGTTTTGCACAATTCCGATTTGTTGCCTATATCAGATTTTTTTGCTTGTCCTTTTACACGTTACAACAAATCGGAATTGGGCATCAAGACCTGAGAGTGTAAACGGGGTTTGTGCGGGGTAAATTTATTAATTCTTTTTTGGACCTAACGTACGCTGTGTAACATTATGTACTGTTTCGATGGCTTTAAATACCTTGCTGAGTTGATACTAAAATGCTTTAAGGTTAACAGTAAATGATGAAGTTTACATCACATTAAACTTATGATTATTTAAATGTCCTTATCCTTGGCTGCATTAACAGTTTAGCTTTCATGTTTTCTTCACATTAATGTTATAGTCTCTGCTCCTGCTGAAAGATGAATGGCACAGGGCCTTTACAAATTTTATTGTTAAAGGTTTGCTTTTTTTTTCTATTGTGGAGAAAGATTAGATTTACTGGATGTGCATTTTTCAATGCCCAGAAAGGAACCAAAAAACAGTCAAAACAAGTCCATGTGATATAAGTGGTTCAACCATAATTATATGAAGCTGCGAGTATACTCCTATGTGCAAAGTGAACAAAAATAACTTTATTCATTGATTTTTCTATGGGAGGATCAGAAAGCTCTTGGATTAAATCCAAAATATCTTAATTTGAAGATAATTAATGACAGAATTTAAATTTTTGGGTAAACTAAACCGTCAAGCAGCAGTAAGACTCACAAATACTTAAAATTGATCGACTTAAAACTGCTTGAACTTTATTAAAACTGTTTGTACTCATATTGTGTTAACTACACTTTGTTCATTTTGTGCTTTTGTTCCTTTGTTTATTGGTCTTAGAGATAAGCCTGCTGTGAAAAGTGTCCCAAACATCTTTAAAAAAAAAAAATTCTCAGAGATTGTGAGTTATTTAATCTTGTTAAAATATTTCTTAAAATAAAAGTATCGAAAAAAGTATCGTTCGGAACTGGTATCGGTATCGGTATCGAAAATTTTGGAACAATACCCAGTCCTAGTTATAGGCCATCTGGGGTGAGTAGCCTCCTCATTAGAGCACCTGCCCCCCATGGTGGAAATGTTAGTTTGATCCCTGCTTGAAGCGGAAGCCTGGAGAAATAAATTTAAATCTAAATCTAAAATACTGCTCACAGATTATTGGTCACTTCTAAACAACAAAATGATTGCACATGAATCATTTTTACTGATGCTAATTTTTTAGAGATGATATGGCACAATGGCTCAGTGGTTAGCACTGTCACCTCACAGCAAGAAGGACACTGATTCGAACCCCAGCTGGGCCAGGAGACATTTCTGTATAGAGTTTGCATGTTCACGTGGGTTTCCTCCGGGTGCTCCGGTTTCCCTTACAGCTAAATAAAAAGACATACGCTATAGGTGAATTGGATAAACTAAATTGACAGTAGTGTATGAGTGTGTGTGTGAACGCGAGAGTGTATGGTGTTTCCCAGTACTGGGGCGCGGCTCATCCCGCTGTGGCGACCCCTGATAAATAAGGGAGTAAGCAGAAGGAAAATGAAGGAATGATAGAATGAACTTTAAAAACAATGCATCACAGTTTAAATGCCAGCTTGTACCACAGTTTGTGCACACTTTTTAAATCATTGCATCACATCGTTAACTGATGGTTAGAGTGAATAGGGCAATCTTCTTATCCATAATCTAATCGCATTGTTGAATTGAATCATCCTACACACAAGTGAGTGTGCTTGACAAACCACCTATAGGACACACGCTCCTTTCCATATGCTTAAAGGAAAACAAATTTAAGAAAATTCAAACTAGCTTACACTTGTCATAGCATTAATATACTACTCTCGGATATTTTGAAGTGCTTTGTTTAACCTCTCTTGTAAGTCTCTTGGATAAAAGTGTCAGATAAATGAATAAATGTAAGTGTAATTGATTTGCATAACTTTTTGATCAGGCGACGCAGTGGTGTAGTGGGTAGCACTTTCGCCTCAAAACAAGAAGGTCGCTGGTTAGAGCTTCGGCTGGGTCAGTTGGCATTTCTGTGTGGAGTTTGCATGTTTTCCCCTGTTTGCGTGGGTTTCCTCTGGGTGCTCCGGTTTCCCTTACAGTCCAAAGAACTGCAGTATAGGGGAATTTGGTAGGCTAAATTGTTCGTTGGGAATGAGTTTGTGTGGATGTTTCCCAGGGATGGGTTGCAGCTGGAAGGGTTTATTCTGCTGTGGTGACCCCGGATTAATAAAGGGTCTAAGCCGAAAAAGAAAATGAATAAATGACTGAACTTTTTGATCAAGAATTTAATTTGCCTAAATTTAATATTGTATTTTTCAGTTGGATGCAGAGCAACTCATTGAAAGGATTCACCTTGAGGACAAACACAGAAAACTAAAAACTTTAGATTTCCTTAAGCCAATTGTACAGTCCCAGGAGACTTGTGCAGAAAATGAGCTAGCTTCAGTTTTTCTACATAAATTGATGATGATGGACTACAAAGCAAGATCCCTTCAGATTATAGAGAATAATGAACAACAGCACAAAACAACAGGGAGCAATGACTTATCTGGAGATGTTGGGAATGCCTTCGACATTATTTTTGGAAAGTCTGCTCAACCCTCTGATTATAATAAAACAGATACCGTGGACTTAATGGATGTTCAGATGGCCATATTTCATTGTGCTGATAGTTTCCTAAAGCAGCTTATTGTGACTAAACTCTCACAGTGTCAGTATGCGTTGCCTCTGCTTGTACCTAATCCATTCACCCAGCAGATTGAGTTTCCACTCTGGACATTTCGACAAATCAACAAGAGCTGGAAGACAACTGATAATACAGGTAAAGTCTTAAGCAAATTCCAGCCAGTCTACAGAGCAGAAACTCCAATGGTGGCTTTCTTCAGGTTTGGCCCAGTGTCCTCATCCAAGTCTCAGCTGATGAACAACCTGATCAATGAGAAACACAACACGTTCTTCCACAGGAACTGCCCAGGCAGCAGCAGAACCCGAGTAATGATGGACGGACTGGTGGAGATAGCCTGGTATTGTCCCTCTGGAGAGAAAACTGATCGATTTACCCAGTGTGTTGCATTCTGTAACCTACACGGGGATGCAGCAGAAAATGACAAGCATATCCTGACTGAAATGGCCTCTGTAAATGTTGTGATTGTACCACAACTTGACAAGAATGATAAAAGCATGACCAAGATTGAAAACTTCATGAAGGACTCAAAGCCATTCATCTGCCTTCTTTGTGACAACGATTCCCCTTTTACAAAATTGCGTGAAGGGAAATACAGAATTGGTTTGAAAGACAGAAATCAATCAGTAGTATTTGAGGAAATCAGAAAAGCTGTAAATGATGGGATCTTGTCTTATAAATCATCTTCTATTTTCAAGCTTGAAGATGTGGCCAAACATACTGGTATCAGAGTAGATGAAGACAAGGATGTAGACCTCAGTAAAGGAAAAAAAGCAGCGCAGCAGATGATGAGTTTACTGAAGTATAAAGATCAGACTCAAATCAAAGAATCATTTCTGCCGCTGCAGGGTCATTTGTGGCATCAGTGGTGTCAGAAGAATAAAGAACTACATCGACCTACGTTAGGTCAACTAAATAAGGGAAGGAACCTTGAACAGAACAATAGTTCTAAGCAGTCAGAAATGCAAAAAATTCGTGAACAGCAGTTTACAACTGACTTAAGTCAATTTATCCAAATCTTCATCCAGAAATTGAAATCACCAGTAGGAAATGAGGTGGCATATTTTCTGAAATGGTTGGCCATCCTTTTGGATGACTACACCACTGAAAATCTTTCAGCTCTTCTTCTTGAGTACGACGAAAAATGGTCAACTGTCCTGAATCTTAAACAGAATCATGATCAATCACAGCAGCTCAGATCAGCCCAAGATAAACTTGAGAGAGTATCCGAGAAACTACAAGCTGCAACCTTTGGCTTAGAGCACATAATGAGAGAGATTGGTCAGATATATGAATCCTATTCATCTGTGAAAAGAAATAAGCGGAATCTGCAGACGTTTGACTACTCTTCTCTTCCCAGTCTTGCAGCAGAGATGATGATTTCTGGATTTCCATTAGAGTTGATGGATGGTGATGCTGCCCATGTTCCTCTGATCTGGGTTACAGCTGTTCTTGACTCACTCATCCAGAAACTGGGAGACAAGAGAGTCTATGTGTTGTCAGTTTTAGGGATCCAGAGCTCTGGGAAATCCACCATGCTGAATGCCATGTTTGGGCTGCAGTTTGCCGTCAGTGCAGGCAGGTGCACCAGAGGAGCTTTCATGCAGCTGGTCAGAGTTTCAGAAGAAATGAAAGCAAGGTTAGAGGTTGACTACATTCTAGTTGTTGATACTGAGGGCCTCCGTGCCCTAGAACTGGCTGGAAGATCAACGAGAAATCATGACAATGAAATGGCCACATTTGTTGTTGGTCTTGGAAATATGACACTGATCAACATCTTTGGAGAAAACACAGCTGAGATGCAGGACATTCTCCAGATTGTTGTTCAGGCCTTTATGAGAATGAAGAAGATCAAACTGAATCCGAGCTGCATGTTTGTGCATCAGAATGTTTCAGATGTTACAGCCGGAGAGAAAAACATGGAGGGAAGGAGACGACTGCAGGAGAAACTGGATGAGATGACGAAACTCGCTGCTAAAGAGGAAGATTGTGATACTGAGTTTTTCAGTGAGGTCATTGCATTTGACGTTAAGAATGATGTGAAGTATTTTGCACAACTGTGGGAAGGCAGTCCACCAATGGCACCACCAAACCCAAACTACAGCAGAAATATTCAGGACCTGAAGAGCACAATTCTCTCAAAAGCTGCACATTCAAGTGGAATTACACTGTCACAATTCAAAATGCGTATTAATGATCTGTGGACTGCACTGCTCAATGAGAACTTTGTGTTCAGCTTTAAAAACACACTTGAGATTGCAACATACAGACGACTAGAAACTAAATACAGCGACTGGACATGGAGCCTCAGAAGTGCCATGATGAGCATTGAAGACAAATTCTACATTAGAATTGCCAACGGAGAACTTACAGTTCAAGATAATGATTTGCTGTCTGACATACAAAAAACAAAGAAGCAGGTAGATAAATCAATGAGGTCTTACTTTGAGGAGGACAGAGACAAAGACATACTGTGTCAATGGCAAAATGTATTTGAAACCAGAATCAACAATCTTCATGATGACCTTGTGAAGGGAACAAAAAGAAAGTTGGATGAAGCCATTGAACAGAAGAAAGCCAGGGAGAAACTGGATCAAAAAAGAACAGAGTATGAAAATACACTTTTCAGTCGAAGCAAAGAACTAGCGTTAAGTCTGAGAAGTACTGGAACAGCTCAAAAAAATCTGAATGAGGAATTCAACACAATGTGGAGTAAATGGGTCAATGAAATTATCAAAGATATACCTCCAGTGAAAGGCTTTGACTTTTGGGCAGATGTGATACAGATATTATCTGAAAACCATGAATTGACTCTTGTAAATGAGCAGCTACAAAAGAAAGACTATGAACGGATGGACCGTTGGGGTGATTATTGTGACTACATCATTCCAAAGAAACATCTAGAGCGTTCTGATGAAACTGAATCTTCAGAGAAACCTGTCGAGAGCTCCATGAAAAGCAGTAATGGAATATTAAATTGGTTTGGTCAAAAACTTATGTCAGGCATAGAGTATTTAAGAGGAACTTCTAGGACAGAAGAATACATGAGCCTAAATCCTGAATTTCATTATTCGGTAAAGAATCTTACTGAAAAAGTTATTCAGAAAACCGAAATGATCATGAATAAGGCACCAGTCGGAACACGCGGCTACAACAACAGTTTCATTCAGGAAATAACAGACTGTGTGAAAAAGTCAGTACAGAATCATCAGTCCATGAACCAGAAATACACATTGAAAAGGGAGTATACCATAGATCTCAGTCTGCATGTGTGTGATTTAGCAAGACAGAGGTTTACTGAACTCCATTTAAAATTCAGAGAAGCAAATGACCCAAGAATTTATCTTGAAAAGCAGAAAACCCAATATGGGAATATCTTTGAAAAATACTACAAAGGAGCGACCACAACAACCATACTGAGTGAATTCATCTGCAGCAGACTTGAGGAATCCATCCTACAAGCGGTTTACAACAAAACTGCTATTGCTTTGGCTGCACAGATGAGGTCTGACATACAAGCATTATGCGGTAACAGACCAGATCTAGAGAAACACATCCTGAAACACCTTGCAGAAAAAGAGGATTTTGATGAGTACATGAAATATATTCATAGCCCCCAAAAACACTTCAAACAATTCATAAAGAATGAAGTGAAGACATACTTCACTAAACAAAATGTGACCGTTCAAAATATATTCAAAGGAAATCTGAAAGAAAAGGAGCAGATTGTAAGTAATGCAGTGAAAGCTGCAACAGTGGAGGTCAAGAGTCACAGTGGAGATGGAAACATGTGGTTTAGGAGCTTCTCTAAAACATTGACAGATGAGCTGAAACTCACAGGGAACTCCTGTGTTGATCTCAATGAAATTAAAGACTTGGATTTTCTTGAAGACCTTTTAAGTAAAGATTTAAAAGAAAGGATGAAAACGATTCAGAGCAGCATAAACCAAATTAAAATAGAACAATTCCAGAAGAGACCGGATGAGATTTTGATTGAGCACTTCTGTCAGTGCTGTTGGGTTCAGTGTCCGTTCTGTAATGCCATCTGCACCAATACAATGGAAGACCATTCTGGAGATCATTGCGTTCCTTTCCACCGCAGTGTTGGACTAAAGGGATGGTATTACAGAGGAACAACAAACCTGGCTATTGAAATCTGCACAACAGCAGTATCAAGTGATGATGAGTTTTATCCAAATTCAAGTGATTCAGATGATGAAACCTCAGATGATTCAGTCCCCTGGAAAGAATACAGAAAAGGAGGTCCTGAATATGCCAGATGGAGCATCACCCCTGACAAATCTGAGCTGCCCTACTGGAAGTGGTTTGTGTGCAGATTCCAGAAAGATCTGGAAGCGTGGTGCAATAAAACATTTCAGGGAAGGAGTGAAATTCCAGATGAATGGAAAAAGTACACAAAAAGTGATGCTTTGGAGAGTGTGGATAAATACCTGTAATGGAAAAGGAAGTGCAAATAGCAAAAGAAAGTTGCAATCTGTCAGCTATTAACTTACATATTTTACAACACTGTATTCTGAACTCATAAATATCAAACAGGACTGGATCCGTCCGAATCAGAAGCTTGGCCAACCCTGGCCCAACACCATATAAATTAAAGATTGCAATATGGTTTTTACCTGAGAGTGCATCATAAAACAGTGGTGGTCTTTAAAAACATGCGTTTAGCTAGCCAGGCTCATATTTCTGAATTAAGTATTGCAATTTTAATGATTTTAAACTATTCAAACAGTGAAAATTGTAAATGTAAATTTAACTATCAGAGAGTGACACAGAAAGCTATACAAATCAAAATCAGAGGCAGTTTTAATAGCCTAGTTCCTTCGTACTCTCAAATTCCAGACACTTCAGCATGCAAAGCTCTTAGTGGCAATTAGAGTAAACATTTTATATGCATTCACATATGCACACAAGCACATACTACTGTATGTGCAAAGGGTGAGGCACAAGATATATTCCACTATATTCTCTATACCTGCTTCACACACAGAAAAAAAAACATCCATTTGAACATTCTTTAGTGATTGAAACTAAACAAATAATCACACATCTACATTATATTCACAGCAGTGCATCTGACATATATGAAATGAAGTAAAGTGTGACGTTTCAGTGATCTCTATCTCTCTCTCTCACACACACAATACCTTTTATTTAATTTGACATTTGGAATATTGTGACGAGTCTCTTTGACCAACCCACTGATCGGCCGAAAGCGGGAAGGACAGAGACTCATCTGCTCAATTGGGAACACTTGAGTTCCCCTCTATAAAAGCCAGCAGTGTTGGCTTGTGGTGAGCCGTGCTTTTGCTCCTGATTGTTTTGTTTTGTTTCTTTTTATCTTTGGTTAATACTTGATTTTGCTGACCTAAAGTGAGCACTTGATTTTTCTTTAATGTTTAAATAAATACTTTTTGGTACCAAAATATCCTCCCTTTAATTATGTCATTGCTCTTAAGCCAGGGCGTGACAATATGTTATATGCAAGTCTTTGAATTCTTACTAGATGTTCTTCTCAAAATACGGTATTTGCAATGTGCTGATCTGCTGTTTTTGCACAAAAGGTGTCAAAACAACTATCATGTTAACTTGACAGCCTTCACGCTGACCTAACTGGTGAAGGTGGAGGAAACAACTTGTAATTTGTAGATTAGGTATATAATGGATAAATTAATTTGTCCATTATGATCAGCATAAACATTTGGGGCCTCATGTATCAACGCTGCGTACGCACAAAAACTTTGCGTACGCCAGGTTTCACGCTCAGAATCGCTCACATTTGGATTTACTAACGATGAACTGAACGTGGGAATGTGCGCAGCTTCACGGCAGCTTTCTGGCTGGCGTACACACATTTTTTGTGCGTGTGTGTTTTATTTTCATTGGCGACTCCTAGAGGCAGTTGTGTTAAATTCCTCTCTACAAAGTGTCTGAGCCTTGCAATGGCAGCTGTATGAGACAGGTTCATCTAGCAGGTATATAAGGTTTCCATACCATACAGTTGACCAGCTAAACATTAAAGCACAATTTGCAGCAGTCGCCTGTTTTCCCAATGTAATCTGAGCGATCTACCGCACGCACATTGCTATAAAGACACTATCTGAAGATGAATTTGCATGCGTGAATCAGAAACATTTCCATTCAATAAATGTGCAAATAAAATATGATGCACAAACTTATTGATGATTCCTAGTTGTCTTTCTCGTGATAAATAGTGGGCAAAATCTGATATGTAGCAAGGGGGAAAAAGAAGAAAGAATTCATCCGACGCTGGATTCGAACCGAGTTCATGTCAAAACATGATCACGTGCGTCTTATGAGGTGCGCCACTTAGACTGCTAAGGGTATTGTAACATTTTACAAATATAAACCACACAAAAAAAACTTTTAATGCACTCAGTGCGATGTTCAGACCCAGCTGTGTTAACCGCATCAGCTAAACTCTCCCACTCTATTTTTTTTCTTTTGTTGTTAATTCCGGAGATCAAACTTGCAAATAACACCGCTTTTCTCCGGTTTACCTCCGAAAGCAGCACCTCCAATTCACATTCTGTTCAAAGTTTCTCTTTTTGCTTGCTTTTGCCATTGCTTTTTCGTTGGGTTTTGCCATTAGCATAGTCATTAGCATATTCATACGGGGGAGGAGGCAGGGAGGGGTTTTGTGCTCGTGCATGTTGCGCTCAGTTTCACGTTCATTCGGATGTATAAAAGAATATGCGTGAGATTCGGCGTACGCAGTGTTTCATACATCTGAATTTTTTTATGCGTACGCAATGTTTTAGTACGATTTCCACGCAAGTCTTCGTACATGAGGCCCCTGGTCCTGAAAAGGGAGAATGTTCTGTATGTTTGCCTTTGCCATCTTCTCTGGAAGCTCTCTTGCTTTTCAGTACAGGCTATACCAAGGCCTTGGTTTTTTATTCTCTATAAGCTTATTAAACTACAATTTGATTTCAGGTTTTCAGATATTTTGAGTTAAAGATTACTTTAACTTCCTTAGGCTCATTTTTTTCTTTTTGCATGAAATAAATAAAAACAATTATTTTATTTGTTTCTGGCCTAACAGGAATGCCACTTGGTCCAGCTTACATCTCAATCTCTTGTAGTAGTAGTTTGTTGTTGTTTATTAAGTTCTGTTTTATTGTGAAAAAAAGTTTTTAAAAGTTTTTGTTTACTGCATTTGTTGATCAAAACTGTTAAAGTATAGAAAGACAAAGTTACATTTAAAGCCAGTGTTAAACAATGTCTAATGATTTACTCTGTCTAAATGTATTCTCTGCTTTAAAAAAAAAAAAAAAAATATCCTAAAGCATCTTCATAATGCTGCACTTTTTGTGTCATTTATGGCCATAAAGGTGTCATCTCTTTCACACAGACACCAGTTAATAATAGAAAGTGTAATTCAGCAAGTCACAGATGGCATGTGCTGATTTACTGTTATGAAAAAAGAGACAGAATACATGCAATTATTCATTTAGTTTACAACTATTAGCCAAATAAGTTAAACTCATATAATGTAAATTAATGTGGACAAGAGTAGTCAAAAAAATATACATTTAATGCAGAATGTTAAAAAAACAGAACTTAAACTCCAGAGCATTGCAATTTTGTTTAATTTTGGGATCACCAACAAGTTTAATTCAAATAGCGAACTCACCAAGAGCACATTTACTTGATCAAATTAGTCATAAAAGTGAGTTGGTGGATCAGGAATTATTACATGATCAAGTGACACTGAAGAAAATTCAGCTTTGCATCAGGAAAAAAATGACATTTATATTCTACACTGTAAACAATTATACAATAAATTAGTCCTGACAGCATATGCTGTAGGTCATTGTAACTTATTAAAGCGGTGGTCCAGAATGTAATTTTAAGGCTTGGTTGTGTTAAGATGCAAAGCAATGTGTGCTCATGATTCACTTGAAGGAAATCGCGTTATTTTTTCATATATCTCACTTGTCTATACAATGCTCTTGGCTAACACGAAAGCGTCTAATTCCTAGTTCCTCTGAAAGGCCCACCCTTAAAGAGCATATTAGACACCCCAGTGAGACAATGGGCCCTATCATACACCCGGCGCAGTGTGGCGCAAGGCGTGACGCAGTAGTCTTTTGGTAGTTTCAGCTTGGCGCAAGAGTCGTTTTGAGGCGTTGCGCTACGCTGTTTAAATAGCAAATGCATTGGCGCTCATTTTTGCGCCCATAGGCGTTCTGGTCTAAAAAGGAAGGCGTTCTGAGGCGGACCGCTGGCGCGTTGCTATTTTGAGAAACTATAATAGATTTTTCATTAGACCAAAACTAACCCGGTCTAAACTCCGGTGCAGAGTTGCACCTCGCTTACGCACTGCTTAATACGCACAAGAGAGCAATAGGCAAATATCTTTACATATGAAAAAATGTAAATATTAAGGATATATACAGGATATAATAAGAATAGATATAGAATATATATATAAAGGATTAAAATATTACAAAACATATTATTTTCTAGCCTACATAAATATGAAAAATCACTGCTTTTATGTCTTCTTCATCTCTGGAGGCTTTTTTCAGTTCATTTGCTTTTGTATAATGTTATTATTATTAGCAGTATTATTTATTATATCCATATTTATATTTGTTTTATTAAAAACAAGCTTAGATTTGCCCACCTGTCAGGTTTTAGACCATATGGGGCAAAGCATGTGTTTTAGGATATAACTCAGGTTTTTGAAGACATTTTGCTATTATTATTTATTTATTCGTTTGCTGGAAATTAGAACTGAATTTAGAAATAGTTTTTAAACGAATATTTGCGCTTAACAAACAAAATTATTTATTTATAGACTTATTGATGTCTGTGCATAAAGGTTTCCCTATCCAAGAGCGAAAGTGAAAGTAGTTCCATTATCTCTCATTCTCACGCAGTAGATGCTCTGTTTAACTGTTTTCTGTTAAAAAACTGTTAACTGTTTGCTTGTGAAATGCTAATTTTTTCCACAGACTTACTTTGCGTCCTGTAAATAGTGAATGCGCTTTTGGCGCTACGCAGCTGGCTCTTAAAGGGAATGAGAGATGAAACTCTAATTGGTTTATTCTTAAAGCACACCTATAACTCCTTAAGAAAATAAACTCAACCCTTTTAGACCATGCGCCGAAGCGCAAGACAGATTTTCCGTCCTTAAATTAGCAAAAACGTGTCCTGACACACCCTGAAAGCATTTGCGCCCTGCGTTTTGCGATTTGCGCATGGACCGTCAAAATAGAGCCCAATGTGTGTAAGAGTAAAGTAGGAACTAGATTTTCTTTAAAATATACGTTAAAGTTTATTATTCAGCCGTTTGGAGTCGTTTTTAGTCACGGAAATTTACTTCCGCTTCGCCAGACCGGAAGTGACGTCGGATAAGGGAGTTCGCGCAAATAACACTATGAAGACAACGGGGTTCCGACCAAGATGGCGCTCTAACAACAAGCGGATCGATGTGCTCTGTAAGCTCAAACATTGTAATTGGCTAGTAGTGTTATTAGTTGAAAGCTATTTTACTCTGTGCAAAGAGAGAATATAATATAAATACTACAGAATTAGTCCCTGTTTGTGATAAGATGGGTAAATCGGAGAAAAGGAAGAACAAAAACGTGTCTCTGGGGACAGCTAACGCTGCTAATGTTAGCAGTAACGTGAGTGAAACGATGGGAGCCTCATGTAGTTATGAAACGGAAAAATTACACAATTATTCAAAAATTAGTGTGGACTTTGACGAATTTATGATGTGTGAGGAAGAATTCCCTGCACTTCCAGAAACTCCATGCAAATCACCTGCTACAAAACAACGGAAAACTGAAAGTTCGGAGGTTGCCATTCTCTCCCAACTCGGAGCTCTTTCTCAATTAATAAACACCCGTTCTGATGCTTTAGAAAATGTGATCGGAGAAAACACAAGAGCGATTACCTCCATGAAGGAGGTAATTAATGAAAATACAAAACAAATTACAAGTGTGAAAGAAGCTATCGAATTTGTGAGTGCTGAGGTTAACCATCTGAAAAACAAGTACGGAGTGATGGAATCCACACTGAGTAAGGTAGAGGAAACGTGCGTGGGACACGACCGAAGGCTGTCACAGTTAGAAAGTTACTCGCGGCGGTGGAATCTCAGGATGCACGGCATTCCGGAAAATGAAAGAGAGGATGTTCGTGGTAGGGTTATAGACGTTTGTCAGCATCTCTTACCAGAGGACAAGGACAGACTCTCCAGCGCCGTCGACACTGTACACCGGTTAGGTCGCAAGCAACCAAACAAGAACAGAGGAATTATTCTACAATTTGCTTCCCGTTTCTTTCGCGATGCTGTTTGGCGTGCAGCAAAGGACTCTGCCTTTTTGCGCGAAAATAACATTAAAATATCAGAAGACTTATCCCTTGCAGATAAAGAAAGAAGAAACAAACTATGGCCAGCAGTGGAGAAAGCAAGAAAAGATAATAAACGAGCATACTTCATCGGAAGTAGGGCTTTCGTAGAGGGAAACGAAATATTCCCTCCTGCTTGAGACTTTACATGGGAAGGTGTGTGATGTTAATATTAAGTTGGTTAAAAAAAATGTCTTTTTGTTAAATTGATGGCCTTTTTAGGACAATTAAAACTGATTTAATAGTTTACTTCGCTAATTTCTTATTTTTACACAGTTAAGCCAATAGTAAAGGGGTATTTTACAAAAAGGGCCTCAATTTAGAATTTGACTTTACAATTTTATTTATTTATTCTTTTTTCTTACTTTTCTATTAACACACCTGAAAAAAAATATCATTGAATATAGTCTATAAAAACTTTATGGGCTAAAGT